GTTTATTAGCTAACTTAAGTTAGGGTCTTTGCCCTTACCAGGTCAGTGGCTTAAGCAAAAGACCCCTTGCCCCGGTATTCTCACAATTTTATGGAACAATATGGGGAGAGGCAGCACTAGGGCAATAGGGTACAGATGATTAGTTGTTGCTAAGGGATTTAGGGCAGTGATCTAAGATGTTGGGGGACATAAAGAAACCCCCCGGCTCCAAAGTTCACTTAGGAAAATATTATCTAGGGAGGATGCAAGGCTCAGGTATGTGGGAGACTTTCAGGAGTCAAGCAAATCTCCTATACGTGCTGAATCCGGATGGCTTTTGTGATGCGTGCTGAGTTCGGAGGAAGTTCCTTGATACCTGCTGAGACTGGAGGGCAGATAAAGGCCCTAAAGAGTCCAAAAGTTCTGTTAGTAATGCTGACACTAAAAGGTTTCTGGTTAAAGATTTTCCTGAAGGCTACTAGAGCTCTCAGACTCACACATAGTCTTTGCAAAGAGTATATACATAGCTCTGGTGGTGCTGTGGTTAAGTCCTTAGGCTTTTAACCAAAAAAGTCAGTGGTCCAAACCCACCAGCTGCTTCCTGGGAAAAGATGAGGCACTCTGCTTCAGTATAAATTTACAGCCTTGGAGACCCTATGGGGGTTGCTATGAGTCAGAATTGTCTCAATGGCAGTGGGTATATATAAAAAAGTATTTTAGAAGTATGTCAAGCAGTTAATAATAATGACAATTATATTATTTTTCTTTTTATGCTTCTAGTATTTGTCAGCTGTTTATGCTTGTAACTTGTGCTGATTAATGATTCTAAATAGACATTTGATTTTTAATTTATTATTTTTTTATTTTTGTAGTGTTCCCTCCCCTCCTCTCCCACCCCTGGTAACCAACAAAGAAAGTTTCCTTTTAATTAATTTTATATTAACCATTTTGCGTGCTTGTTTTAAAGAGGGTCTCCAAATTATAAAAGCTTTAGGCTCACAAAACCTGCAACCTTTCTGGGTAGAATAGAAATTCAGTGTGAAATGGGCAACTTGTCTATAAAAATCCAGATGTAGAGTTTTCCCTGTCACTCATAGAACTCCTAAGATGTCAGATAACAAAGATGTGGTCTACTGGGTGGATGGAATGAGGACTAAGTGGTACTAATAACAGACATCCAACACAAAGTCTACCAGAATAACAAACTCTGTTCCTGGACAAGGGCATGGAAAAGACACAGGCCATAGCTAGGAGTTGAGATCTTCTAATAGTGGGAAACTATTAGCAAGTTTTAAGTAAGGGAAGGACACAGTGTGATTTGCCCTTTAAATAGATCTCTGCAGTCACTGGAAAATGAATGACAAGGAGGCGCGCGCGCGCGCACTTGTGTGTGTGTGTGTGTGTGTGTGTGTGTATGGGGGGGGATGGAGATGGCTTGAACCAAGGTGATAGTCCTTCAGCTCTGTCAACAGTTCCTAAATAGAATAATTTTAAGTGCAACCACTGTCAGTTTGTTGCACTTTGTGAAATGGCTTGGGTGTTGCTATGATCCTGGAAGCTATGCAGTATTTCAGATATCATCAGGGTCACCCATGGTGGACGTTTCAACTGAGCTTCCAGACTAGGTGGAAAGGCCTGGCAATCTACTTCTGAAAATTAACCAGTGAAACCCCCTATGGATCACAACAGAACATTGTCCAATATTGTGCTGGAATATGACCCCCTAAGTTGGAAGACGCTCAAAATACATAGGAGTGGGCAATGTTTTGTTCTGTTGTACATGGAGTCTCCATGAGTCAGAGCTGACTTCATAGCAACTAACAGTAACAAATGACTTGGGCACCCTAAGTGTGTGAAGAGCCAGAAGTACGCTGGCTTCCCCCAGGAACCCTTGCTTGGTCAGTTGATTCCTTTTGTCTGCAGCCAAGTGCTATAAAAAAAGCTATAGAGGAGGTGAACTGTTCACACCCGCTCAGCTTTCTGATGAATCATTTAGATGGGAAACCCAAAGCCTGCTCAGGTAAAAAGATACAATAACTCCAGCTCAGGATCACAATCCCGTCCCAAGTATATGGCTTTGTTTTCCCTTTAGATTGAAGGATGCTTTAAAAACACATTCTTTTTTTGTTCAGTCATGGTTTCCTAGCAACCAGAAAAAAGCATCCATTTTCATGATGTCTGTGGGTGCCAGCAGAGCCAATGCTCCAGCTTGCCTCCGGAAGCAAGGAAAAGACAAATGCACTGGAATCTGTCTCTGACTGGTGAGAGATTCTGAAGGGGAAACTGTTAAGAGCTGAGCACCTAATAGAATAGCCAGAGAGACATGTATCTTACATGGTGGAGTGCACTCGGGAGGGGGTCCTTAGCGGAGAATGGAGATGATGCTCAGGACTTGATATTCCTATGGAATAAGGAGGTTCTTACTTGTGAGGGCTTAGCTTCCATGAAACAGCTAAAGCTCAGGCAGCTGACATTTTTCCAGTAGCTCTGTGTGTATTTTCAGCCAGGGCCTTGTTTTCTCTAAAGTGCTATACAGAGAAAAGGGGGATGTACTGGCAAAATTCAAATTAAAACTGAATAAAGATCTGCAAATGACCCTCTCTCAACCAGGCTTTTAGCTACTAAACAAATGTAAATCACTGAATCTACAGCTGGAAGGGAGCTGGCAATCATTGAATGCTTGTTTTATAGAGTAGGAAGCCCAAGGACATAGAGGCAAGGCCACTTGTCTAAGATGACAAAGCTACTTGGCTTCACGCCTCACAGAGTTTCCTGACCCCCCAGGCTAGTGGATTTGTGATGAGAAATGCTGGCTCACATTTTTAAGATTTAAACTTCTGTACCTTATGCCATGTGAAATGGGGATAGAGGTTCTAAGAAATCACAACAACCAAGAGATGCAGATTTATGATTTGGAAGTCTGACATTCAGGGGGCTTTCTCAGAATTACAGAAGAATGGGTTAAAGCAAATGGTAAGTCTCTTGCTTTTCAGGCTTCTATGTTAAGTGAGGAGTCCCTGCGTGAGGCAAATGATTAATACCTGTTGGCTGCTAAACAGAAAAGCTGGCGGTTCAAGTCCACCCAGAGGGGCCTGGAAAGAAAGGCTGGACCATTTACTTCTGAAAAATCATCCATTGAAACCCCTGTGAAGCACAGTTCTACTCTGACACACACCGGGGTCTCCATGAGTCAGAGCTGACTCAAAGACAACTAATAAGCCCGCTCCCTCTTAAGGAATTCACGTAAGACAAATGTTCTACCTCAAATGTTTTTCCAAATTATTGAATTATGAGAATGATAATACATGTTACACTTTATAGTTACCAAATGTTAGGATGAACAATGTTCTTGGTATGTGCCATGGAGCCGGTTCCGACCCTACCTACCTTATATGACACAGTAGAACTGCCCTGCAGGGTTTACTAGGCTGTAGTCTTCACAAGGGCACATCACTGGGTCTTTTCTCTGAGGAGACACTGGTGGGTTTGAACCACCAACCTTTAGATTAGCAGCCGAGTGCCACAGGTTTATAGATGACACTACAAGCTGGGCTGCAGAAGAGCCAAAAGGCTGGCAAAAGTCACACCAATCAGAGGTAGAGTGGACACCCCAGTCCACCCCAGCTTCCTGGGGCCAGTGCTTTCCTTCTCTGGGTCCTGCTGCCTGCCACCTCTCTGATTTGCAGTCACTTCTCTTAATTGACTTTCTGGCGGGGAGCAATATTCCTGTCTTTGTAATTAATCTGCTTCCTCTGGACTACTACCTTTCCCTTTTTCATCTTATCCGTATCCTACCATGTTCCAGAGGGTTGTAGCAGGAAGAATGTTTCTAAAGAATCAAATTGGCCTGTTGCTGCATTCATCTCTGCTTATCAGTAAAAACTGAATACTATGAAGCTTAGGAGCTCTGGTAGAGTAGTGTCTAAAGCACTTGACTGCTAACCAGAAGGCTGGTGGTTCAAACTCACCAGCTACTCCTTGGAAGGAAGATGGGGCAATCTACTTCTATAGTGATACTGCCTCAGAAATCCAAGGAGGGGTTGCTATGAGTTGGGTCCGACTCGATGGGCCATAACAACAACATGAAGCTTAATTTAGTGTTTATGTGCTACAATTTCCAAATAAAAAGTTTCTAAAGTCTTTTTTCCAACTATCAGCAGAGTAAAATTTAAATATACGTGAATAACTTCAAAAGTACAAAGTGTACCATAATGAGCATCATGGACTCAACAAATGAACATTTTTGTCATATTTGCTTCAAATCTTTTTTTAAGAAATAAAAAATACTACAATTATAGGTGATATCCCATTTATATCTCTTCCTGGGTATCCAGTTCAATAGGAATGTTTTTTGTACACTGCTTTTTGTGATTTGGGGCACTTTTTGACCCCATTGCCTGGACTCCCCAATTTCTGGTTCAATGTTTGGGTAGAGCCTACAGGACACGGTCTCCCATTTGCTATGGCTGAATGGTCTTTCAAGGACCTCCTGGACAATAGGCAATTAAATTATAGATGAGTTCTACAGAAAACTCTGTTGTGAGTTGTTGCACCAGGGCAGACTCACTGGGCATCACTACTTTTGAGCGTGAAGAGAACTCAAACATATTGAGATCACAAACCATCCATGTTTGGATGGTTCTGACCAAACAGTCTCATCAACTCTTCTGTTAGCTATTGCCTGTCTGACTCGCTAGTTAATTGCTGGCATAAGCAAATGGTTAAGTTTTGGGAAAACTTGGAAGAAATGAAAGGTGTCAGATAATCACCAGGTATGGTGTTTTAATGAGACAATGTTCTGATCTGGAACTTGCTGGGCAAAAGGGCCTGAACCCTGTGCACTTAGGATCCCTTCCAGAGCCTAGGACTCCATGACTGGTATTTGCAGTGATAACATCCTTAACTTGAATTCTCTCTGATTTGCTGCTGTAGCTTCTAGGCTAAGACAGGCTGGGTCTTCCCAAATGATTTCAGGTTCAGTGTCAACGGCAAACACCTGCTTAGCTGGACATCCTTTAATCATGGAAAGAAGACTCCTAAAAAGGGAAATGAAAAAAATCCTGTAAGTATGATTGAGAACAGCTTTCATCTATTCTATTCAGCATTTGGTGGGTTTCATGTCACAGATGGTCTGGATGTAAGCAGTGGGGAAAATGTTTAAGGAAGAATCTATTCCTGCACTGTAAGATAGATAAATCTAGGTGGCCGGACCTGTCTCCCATCTAGAGGCCTCATCTACGGTGCGAGCAGGAAGCTGAATCCCTTGGGAGGATGTTTCTGCCAGCTGTGTGCTTGTCTAAGACATCTCCAGTCTAGAGCCTCCTGGCTGAGCCCATAGTCCAGTTGGCCTGTGCTGGGCAGGACACATTCTGGAAAGGACCTAACCTTGTTGGTAAAAGATTTCTCAAATATATGCCCAAGGGCCCTGCTTTTAATTGCAGCCTCAACCTCTTTTGATTATCTGTCATAATGACTAAAAATTCATCTCCTTTTTTCTTGCCATCTGAGGTGTTTTTGTTTGTTTGTTTTGTTTTTTAAATAAATAAATAACAGAAAGCATCAAGTTTGACCATGAACACATTTTTTTCTCCTGTGGTACCCACCAGCCACTCCTCGGAAGGAAGGTTGGGCAATCTACTTCCGTAGTGATACTGCCTCGGAAACCCAAGGAGGGGTCACTATGGGTCGGGTCCAACTCCACGGCAATGGTTGCATTTATTTTTTGCATAAACATATTTATTTTTTAAAATCCAAATAATACATTTAGGCTACTTTAAGTAAAGCATCTTGGAATTCCAAAGCAAAAATTCAAGAATTTTTAATAATCTAGAAAAAGGAATGACTCAGAAGCAAAGCTTTTCAAAGCCAGAAAACAACATCCTCCACGCAGTATGTACTCCAAGGTGTATGGTTTCATCAATTATTGACTACCAGAACTGGCCTTAGGAAAAACTGTGAGATTTGCTGAGATCAACTGGGAGCGGAGTCCTTTTCCCTGTACCCGGTTCCTCTTCCCAATGTTCCCAGGGCAGCATCCCTTTCAATTCTCATCTTAGGATCCTTATTCTGTCCTCTCTCAATTAAAAATCTGGTAGGAAAGGATTTGATAAGTATCTACTAAGTGGCATTATTAATACATTTAATGCTTAACTCCTCCTAAGGGTATTTGCATTCTAGGGGGGAAAGCCTTTGGGTAAAGAATAAATCAACATTCGTGGAATATTATGTACTTGGTATTTATCAACTTTGAGCATTCCACCTGAGTTTAACATGGATGGCAAGAGGATATATACTTTAAAAATGTGAGTCTCAATCTTCCAGTTTTGTAAAACCTTTTCTGGGTGGGAATTTGTCATGCTTGCTGTCTTTCTCTAAATTCTGTTCTATGTGAATTTAATTTTTAGATAAATGTAATTTAAACGAATTGTGTTTAGACATTTTTGAACCTGCCATGTTGCAGAATTACCCTTAATGAAAATAAAATGTAAATTCAGATATCAGATCTGAATTTACTCGGTGACTTCTCTTGTGTGTTAGCAGAGGAGGGGGGGACAGGGAAGATAGTCTCTTTCTGCAGACTGAGCCCCTGTGTCTTTCCCTATGGTTCAATGCTGCTCTCTTGCTTTTAAGGGGAGATTATATTGGCATCAGACTTCGGGAAAATGAATTTGACCCAAAAGGAAGAAGGCAACTCACCTTTCTAGATGATATGGTAAAGAAAGGCATGCTGGTACAAGTCACATTTGTGTTATATGTGTATTAAGGGGCAGAACAAGAATCTAACTTACTCTCTATATAAACTGGGCTTGTTTTAAAAATTAAGGCAATTTATTTTTTAGAGCACTTTTAGGTTTACAGAAAAATTGTGCAAAAATTGCAGTTTCCATATAATCCCCTCCCCCCTGCACAGTTTTTCCTGTTGTTAACATCCTGCATTCCTGTGGTATACTTGTTACAACTGATGAACCAATATTGATACATTATTATTAGTTAAAGTCCCTCAGTTCACATTTAGGGTTCACTCTATGTTGTACTGGCCTATGGGTTTTGACAAATGCATAACGTTATGCATCCACCATCACAGTTTCATGTTGTACGTGAGCCCCTGGCAACCACTGATTTGTTTACTGTTGCTATGGTTTTGCCTTGCCCGGAATGTCATATAGAATTATATAGTACATCGCTTTTTTCAGACTGGTTTAAAACAGGGCTAAACATGATTCCCCAAAAATGTCCTCTCCCTTATCCTCTCCTCATGCCGGGATTGCCCATATGGTCACTTCAGTCCATAAAACAGAAAGCAAAAAGAGAAAGAAAATAAAAGCCATGAGTATTGTTTGCTATTAGGAGAGAAAAGATTAAAAAGCAAAATGAATGCAAGGTTAATGTTGCACAAAAACCAAACTGATTGTCATAGAGTCAATTCTGACTCATGGTGACCCTGCAAGGACAGAGTAGAACTGTCCCAGGATTTCGAAAGCTGTAAATCCTTGCAGAACTAAACTGCCACATCTTGCAAAACAACTGCCATATCTTTCTCTCATTGTGCGGCTCATGGGTTTGAACTAACCACTTTTCTGTTAGCAGCCGGGTGCCTTAACCACTGCACTACCAGGGCTCCTTAAATGTTGCAGATATGATGTTAATTTTTCTTAAACAAAATTAGCTATCATGTAGTTCTCAAATACAATACTTTCATTACCATTTACATTAGTGGGGAAAATCCATAGCAGTGAATAATCCTAATATCCTTTGTGTTACTATTCATGTTGAAACCCAAATGTTACGCTATACAAGTTTCGTTCACATAATTTAAGGAAGAAACCATGTAAAAGTCTCATTCAAAACAAATTCTTAAATCCTTAGGGTTTTATATATATATAGATATATAGATATATATAGAAGGATTTCTGGTGGCTCAGTGTGTAAGACATATAGCAGCTAACCAGAAGGTTGGCAGTTGAAACCCACCAGCTTCTCTGTGGGAGCGCAATGAGGCAATCTACTTCTGTAAATATTTACAACCTTGGAAACTCAGTTGGGGTCACTATGAATCGGAACTGACTTGATGGCAGTTTTTTTAAATCTTTTTATACTATTTTCTATTGTTGCACAAATATGGAAGAAAGGTCCTCTGTCTCTTTCTCTCAAATTTAGGAAGTTAAGGTGTAGGAAGGCTGACTGACTTTTAAAGCTTTCCTGAAGCTAACTAAGCAGTTAAGCACTGGCCTTCTCAAATACTCTCTTGCAAACACACTCAGTGGAGAGAAGTTAGTCTCTGACTTCAATGAGGTCTCAGACTTTACAATGCAGTCTTCATTCAGGAGGTCTGGGGTGGGGACCAGGAATTTGCATTTCTAATGAGCAGACAGGTGATGCCAATGCTGCTGATCTGCCCAACAAATTTTGGATTAGGTTTCACCAATTGTCATGGTTCATTTTTTAATTTTTTCCTTTTTTTGGGGGATCACTTTTAAGTTTGGTTCAGCACCTGGAATAAATAACTAGGTTGTTTTAGAAACAGCTAGAGGTAGATAGAACCTTAGAACACATCTAAAAAACAAAACAAAACAGATCTTTTCCAGAGGCAGGAGTGTGAGAAGAAGGAATATTTTGATAGATAAATCATGAATATGCTTACTAAATGAGCTTGTAAATCAATCAGGAAACTGTAGTCACTAAGATAGAAACAGGAGCTCTGGTGGCATAGTGCCTAAGACATTTGACTGCTAACCAGAAGGCTGGAGGTTCAAACCCACCAGCCACTCCTCAAAAGGAAAGTTGGACAATCTACTTTCGTAGAGCTACCAACTTGGGAACCCAAGGAGGGGTCGCTATGAGTCAGATCTGACTTGGGAGCCCTGGTGGCTCAGTGATTAAGCATTCAACTGCTAACCAAAAGGTTGGCAGTTCCAACCCACCAGCTGCTCCCTGGAGAAAGATGTACCAGTCTGTTTCTGTAAAGACTTATACTCTTGGAAACCCTATGAGGCAATTCTACTCTGTCCCACAGGGTCACTATGAAGCAGAGTTGACTCCACAGCAAAAAGTTTGGTTTAGTTTTATGATAGGACAGTGACGTCACTAGGGTGGTGTCACCCAGTCTGATAACTCATGGTGTCACCCCCTCCATGAACCATCTTCCATACTAGCCCATACAGAATCCTTAGTAATGTTTATTATCAATGTTAATCATAGACTAATATGTGATAAATATGGTTGTCAATTGTTTTAATGTAATATTTCTTAGATTATATGAATACTAACAATAGTCTGAATAGTCTTTCTATACTAAATTACAATATTATTAGTTACAACATTATTGGTAACTGAATGGAAGCCTTTTTCCAGTTTTAAAAAATTCTTTAATTACTACTTTATTCTCAAAAAGTTATTAATATAGGTTCATAAATACTAATTACCACAATATTGTAGCTAAGCCACCAGATAATTTGACAACCTTAGCAACTATGAAAACACTGGTAGCAAGGAAGACAGCAGCAAGTACTTGTAGCAAAACCATGTGATTTGAAACATCATTGTAATGGGATAATAATGACAGCTTTGAACTGAGGGCATTAGAAAGTTCAAAAAGTAAATTACATAGTTTTAATCTTGTAGGTACCTTGATACAGGTAATCTGGGCTTTGAAAAATGTTTTTGTTGGTATGGCTAACTACAGGGATCTTTTTTATAAAAAAATAATAAATTTCTGCTGGAACACTGCACAAAAATTTTATAGACATTTTGGTGTCAACCTCATTAACACTGTCAAGTAGTGCAGTCTCACCCCCACCTAGTGATGCCACTGTGATAGGAGCAAGGCGCCATGATGATGCAACAGTTAAGTGTTTGGCTGCTAACTGAAAGGTTGGAGGTACGAATGAGGGAGGAAAGACCTGGCCATCTGCTCCCATAAAGATTACAGCCTACGAAACCCTATAGGGCCGTTCTACCCTGCCCTATAGGGTCACTGTGAGTCAGAATCAACTCAACAACACACAACAACAGCAACACAATCAGAACAAACATCTTAATTTGTCCTCAGCTTTTTACTGTATGTGAGACTCTAAGCAAGTCACCTTAATCAGAGGTGCTGCCAGTCCTTTGCTCAAGCTGGTCCCTCCATCTGAGATGTGCTTTGCTACCCACAGAAACACTCCTCATCCTTCAAGCCCCGCCTCCAATGATGCTCTCTCTCTGAAGGCTCCCAGGATTCTCCCTAACTCCCCAGGAGGATGTAATGGCCCTTCCTTGCAATTCTCCCAACATTTTCCCTGTGCCCCTGCAAGTAGGTATTTGACATTCTACCCACAGAATCAGAAATTGTTCTCCAAGGTCCTCTTCCCCAAATTGCATCTTTCTTCTTCTTCTTTTCTTCTTCTCCTTCTCCTTTCCTAAGAGACTTGATTTTCTAGAGCAATTTTGTTGTTGTTGTTGTTAGGTGCCATTGAGTCACTTCCAACTCATAATGGTCCTATGTACAACAGAATGAAACACTGCCTGGTCCTGCACCATCCTTATAATTGTTGCTAAGTTTGAGCCCATTATTGTAGCCATGTGTCAATCCATCTCATTAAAGATCCTCCTCTTTTTTTCTGACCTACTTTACCAAGCATAATGTCCTTCTCCATGAACTGGTGCTTCTTGATAGCATGTCCAAAGTACATGAGACAAAGACTCACCATCCTCACCTATAAGGACTATCCCAGCTATACTTCTTCCAAGGCAGATTTTTTCATTCTTCTGGCAGTCTAGGGTATATTCAGTATTCTTTGCCAACACTGAAAGAGCAGGTTTGCAGAAAAATTGTGCAGAAAGCATATAGTTCTTATATCTCCCTTCCCCTGGCACAGTCCTATTTTTTTCTTTTTCTCCTACTGTTAACATCTTGCATTCCTGTGGAAGCCCACCTTTTTCTGTCATAAAAATTGAGGAACCAAGGCCCAATCACTCACCCAAGGTTATACTATGCAAATCATAAATCATTAGCTGCTCTAAACCAAAAACAAAACAACCCATTGCCATAGAGTCATTTCTGACTTATAGCAACTCTATATGACAGGATAGAAATGACCCATAGAGTTTCCAAGGTTGTAATCTTTACAGAAGTAGCCTGCCACATCTTTCTCCTGCAGAATGACTGGTGGATTCAAACCACTGACCTTTCAGTTAGTAGTCCAGCACTTAACTACTGTGCCTCAGGGCTCCTTACACCTGCTCTAGTGAGAGATAAACAAACGGTAATGCCTGAAGATCCCTAATTATTTCTGGTTGAGCATCAGCTTATTGGACATTGATGATGATAAAAAATAGAAGAGGCTTAGAGTGCCATTGTCACTGGGTCCAGGGAGTCCTTGGCCAATGCCAGCCTGTTCTTTTGTTCTCTGTGATTCCTGCTTCCAGGCTCATTATGCCTTGGGCGTCAGTGTTGCTTTGCAATGGCTGGATCACTCAGAAGACTTAACGTGGCTGGAGTGGGAGGAAGTGTAAGTTGAAATAGTTTGTCTTTTTTTTTTTTTTTTTAATGTATGACTATGATTAATGATTTGAAAACACTACAGGATGAGTATCCCTTTTTCAACAAAATATCTTAATTGCCAACTTGGAAAAAACATAATATATATGTTTACATATCTTGCATCTCTGCTAATTGGTTCCTCTCAGATGAAAAACTTTCTTGTCTAGAATGTCCTGCCTTAGAAGTATGACTGGGCTTTATTGTGTCTACATCATGATTTTTTAAATGGTCAATTCAATGGGTAATGACTGCAATCTTTTTCTAAGAACCATCAAACATAATTTTGTTAACATTTAAGCAGATACGTACCTGAATCATTAGGAGCTCTGGTGGCACAGTGTCTAAGGCATCTGACTGTTAACCAGAAGATTGGTGGTTTAAACCCACCAGCTGCTCCATGGGAGGAAAATGGGACACTCTACTTCCATAAAGACTTAAAGCCTTGGAAACCCAGGGGGGGCTTGTTATGAGTTGGATTTGACTCAGTGGCAGTGCAGGTGGTTTGGTTTCGGTACCTGAATCATAGAAAAAATTTTTCTCCGTATTATCAACATTTTCTTCCACGCAGAGGGTCCCCAACTCACTTAATTGGTAAGAACATGGAACTAATAAGGGATCAAGAGGCTAGTTTTTGGTTTTTTTTTTTCTGTTCCATGACCTTAGACTGTACATCTAGTACTGGATAGCTGGATTAGTCAGGGGTTAGTTGTGATAAGCAGAGAACCCAATTTAACTCCCTTAAGCTAAAAGAGAGGTGTCTGAAAAGTCATGAATAGGTCTGCCTTGTAGTGGTTGTCATTAGGTGCAGTCAAGGCAGCTCCCGAATCATGGCAATCCCATGGACAGCGGCATGAGGACACGCAGGTCCCGCACCATCCCCATGATCAGCTGTGTATCACATCAGTGTGATCAACAGTTTCATTGGCTAATTCTTCAAAGCAGACTGCCAGGCCTTTCTCCTCTGTCTGTCTTAGTCTGGAAGTTCCACTGAAATGTGTTCAGCATCACAGCAACATATAAACTTACACTGACAGGCGGCTGGTGGTTGAATATGAGGCACACTAGCTGCGAATTGAACCTGGGTCTCCCAAATTAAAATAAAAAACAAAACACTGGCATGGAATCAATTCCAATTCATAGTGACCCCCATTGAGTTTCTGAGGTGGTAAATCTTCCTTCTTCAGAGCGGCTGGTGGGTTTGAACCACCAACCTTCTGATTAGCAACAAAATGCCTTAGGCATTCTACCACCAGAGCTCCTGGTGGAAGGCCAAAATGCTCCATTACAACACTTAGTTGAGAAGAGAAGAATTAAAACATCACAGAATTGAGTTACGATGGGTCTGTTTGCCCTGACTTGGCTGGGGAGAGATGAAATACACTTAGTCCGTGGCATATTCTTGATCCTTCAGACCTAGTGATGTTGTCTGCTTTCCTAGAAGCACATAGGCTTACAGTGGGGTACGGCAGGTCCCCCAAGCAAATTGCCACAAAATGGGGAAAGAATACTGGCTGAGAAAATGATAAGTTGCCAATGTTTGAGAGATGCAAAAATATGAATGGATCAGGGCATATTCATCACCCTTATTGGAAGACTGAAAATTCAAAGTGTGTGCTTTATTGATTGTGGGCTGATTTTGGAAATAAGAGAATAGTACAGTCATTGGATTACTTGTAGATTATTGTCTTAACTTTATCAAGTATCAGAAAGTATGATAATAAATCTTCCACACTTATTTATTCATATTCCCCCTTAGGAAAATGCCATTTCATCGCAGGCCCATATACCCAAATCGTGTAGAACGAGAAGCAATGATTTTATCGTCATATGCTGGAATCTTGATGGTAAGGAAAAGAACACTATTTGCATATATGGATATTTTATATCTACTATATGCACTTTGATAAGAGTTCTGGTGGTGCAGTGGTTAAAACATTTTGCTGCTAACCAAAAGGTTGGTGGTTCAAACTCACCAACTGCTCCATGGGAGAAAGATGAAGTAGTCTGTTTCCACAAAGATTTACAGCTTTAGAAACCTCACGGGGCAGTGCTACTCCGTCCTATAGGGCTGCTCTGAGTTGGAATCGACTCGGCAGGGGGTTTGGGTTTGGATTTGCATGTTAATATTTATGCTATTTTAAGCCAATGTTACTGAATGCTTAAGATATTCTCATATTAAATTTTGTATCTATCAACATATAATAAAAAGGCTTGGACTCTATATTGTATTGGGAAAACATTTACTTAAAAGGCAAAAAGCAGAAGGAAAGATGTAATGAACAATTGCTATCTGGATGCACAGATTTAGTCATTATTCAGAAGTTATTTATTTAGTCTCACACTGTCAGGTGAGGTACCAAACATATTGGAACTACAATAGTTTTATTTTTATTTTATTTTTGAATAAAAGAAAGGTCATAATATGGTAATACATTTTGTTGCCGTTGTTGTTTAACAGAACAGCATCCAAATTGAGGAAGTCTTTAAACTTTATGGGGCTGCTGCTGCTTCTACCGATTCTGGTACAACCAAGGTAGGGGTGAACCGGGGCTGTCAATGAAAGGGGTTGTTAGAAGGATTTTCTTACTTTTATAGATTTATAATGCATTTTTAGCTGCTAGTTATGAAATAACAAAGTTGTATATCAAAATGCATACCTTACTCGGGTAGCAAATGTTTATAAAACACCTTTCCAGGTAGAAGAATGCATTAATAATAAATGCATGTTGTGTAAAGCTGGACAGAAGCAGCAGATAGAGCGCCAGGTTTGGAGTCTAGAGTCTTCTCTGTTTGTAATTAACATACATTCTCGTTTATACTTTTTGCAAGCTACACCTGTTAAGTCTACCCTTTCTTCTTGTGTGATGTATTGTAACTTCTGGAATTAAGGCAAGAGTTACAAGGTTCATTCTGATGATAAATGATCTCAGTTACTCTTGCCACATTTCTCTTTCCCAAGAGACTGCTTTGCAATCACAGAGTAAAAGAAGCAGTGATCTGGGAGTCCAGAACCTGGGTTTGAGTCCTGACTGTAATACTATGGAACTCTAGTCAGATCATTTTCCTTCCCTGGGCCTCTGTACAGGGAGCCTTGGTAGTGTAGTCATTAAGTGCTCAGCTGCTAACCAAAAGGTCAGTGGTTCCAACCTACCAGCCATTCTGTGGGACAAAGATGTAGCAGTCTATTTCCAGAAAGATTATAGCTTTAGAAAACCTATAGGGCGATTCTCCTCTATTCTATAAGGTTGCTGTGAGTTGGAGTTGACTTGAAGGCAATGGGTTTGGTTTTTGTTTTTGGGGGGGCCTCCATACATTTGTCCAAGGAAATTGAGTGTTCTGAACAATCTTTTAGATCAGTTCGGCTTCACTGTTTATGAATGTGCAAACACTTAGTAAGCATTTAGATATGGGCCACCATTTAGAGGTGAGTTACTGTCCCTGTGGATGCCTCTCAAAGCTGGAAGAGAAAAGGCAAAATAGAGGTGTGGTGGGGAAGAGCTGTGCAGGGGAAGGGAGGAAGGGAGAGAGAAGGAAAAGGGAGCGCCAACACACTCACCACCGGTCTCCCACTTACACTGTGCTTGGATGCCCCCACCAGGATGTGGAAAGAAGCCAAGGCTGAGGCAGGGCTATGGCCACAGGAATCCCTTCCTCCCTTGTTCTCCTGGCTCCAGGCCACACAAGCAGTGGGGTCATATAAAGGGGACAGCCAACCAGGCACAGAGTAGGAGTCAGGATGGACTAAAGAGTTTGGTAACTCTAACTCTGAAACTCACTGTCCTGTCGACTTAATTCATTTGTAACCATCCTGAGTACTGAGTCACTGAGGAAATCAGTATCGTCTCTCTCATTTATCCAGTTTCAACTCTCTCCATTCATATCTTTGTTTTTTTTCATTCAGTATAGTTGTAGGTGCAGGTGTTACAGTGGGGAACAAGTCAGACAAGATTGCTTTTCTCGTGGATCTTACAGCCTATACTGGGGCTGACATTCTACCTTGGATGAGATATAAGCCACCCACTTGACTGCTAACCAGAAGGTAAGCAGTTCAAACCCACCAGCTGCTCTGCAGAAGGAAGACTGGGTGATCTACTTCCTCAAATATTTACAGCCTCGGAAATCCAATGGGGGTGACTATGAGTTGGAAATGATTTGATGGCTGTGAGTTTTTTTTTTTTTTTTTTTTTGCTTCTCCCACAGCTTTTAAAGAAACCCAACTCCATGGGTTTCTTGCTTTGTCAAGCAAGCCACACTGCTAGTTCCTGCTGTTTTTCATGCAGCTTCTTTCCTCCAGGCTGCCCTCTTTTCCACTTCCTCCCACCTCTGAAGAACACATCCACACTAACACCCCTGAGCTCCAAAGCCCCTCTGTTTCACTTATTGTGTTTTCTACCCTCATGTGCTGCCAGGGTAGGTTGAGGGCAGGAATCAGACACATCACGTGGCCAGAGGGCAAATATAGAATATCGCCATCCTGGAGAGGATGCACTATGTACCCCCGTCTTGGCTGAGTTATCACTGGAGAAAGTTTGCAGACGTGGGTGGCTGAGTAGCCTGGAAGAGGCAAGTTCATTTAAAGGGGCCAGGATGGGCAGGCATGCTGTTTAGAGGTGGGTCAGCCATATCACTAACTTTCCATCGGATCATTGATTTATTCATTAAAGAGTCTTCTTTACTCAGCCCTTCCTCTGCTAAATTAAGGAACCCTGATGGTGCAGTGGGTAAAGTGCCCTGCTGCTAACCAAAAGGTGATGCCAGTGCTATGAGTCTGCACATCAAATTTCATACTAGATTTTGCCAATTATCATGGTCCCTTTTTTAATTTTTCCTTTTTTGGTTCACTTTTCAGCTTAGTTCAGTTCCTAGAAGAAATAACTAGGTTGTTTTGGAAAAATGCTAGCGGTAGATAGAAACTTAGAACACATATATATATATATTTTTTTTTATTAGGATTTGGGT